GGATCCGACACATCACCGGGCCGCTAACCATGCAGGTCTGTTCGATTCGATCGCTGACGACCTATTGGAGGGATGCGATTATCGGGCGCAGCCCGACACCTTCGCCTAGAGGTTCACCGCCGATCGATTGCTACTAAATCGCATATGGTGCTATGTTTATCGGATCATCATCGCCTCTTGGAGCTAAGCACATATGGAAAACATCAGCGCCACCGAAGGTTAAATTCTTCTTTTGGCTGGTCATGCACGGCAGATGCTGGACGGCGGATAGACGGTTCCACCATGGTTTGCAAGATTCGAATGCATGCATCTTTACGACCAGGCGCCAAACGATGAACCACATCCTTCTTGGATGCCCCTTCATCGCGTCCAGGAAGCTGGTTCGAGGAAGCTACACCAGTAGTACACCGTCGTTGTTCAAGATGAACTAGCTATCCCATGGTGACTGCGATGCAGGAAGGCGCTACCAAAACAGCTCCGCCGTGGGTTTGACTCCCTCTTCTTCCTCATCGGTTGGTCCACTTGGAAAGAACGCAATGCGAGAACCTTCAATGGAGTGTCAACCTTGGCGGTAGCGTCTTGAGGTCTCCATTCGGCGCTTGGTGCATGGCGGGCTACAAGCACCTTAGGAGGATGCGTCAATTTGAACCCTGCAACAACGGTCGCGAAATTTGTATGACGTAATTACAACCTCGTGTGCCTTTTTCTCTCGCTGTCGATTCGGCCCTCGGTAACCCCGAATTAAGTAACAAACTCTATTCTTCTTAATGAAATACGTGCCCACGATCGTGAAAAAAAAAATCGAAGTTTTTTATGAAACTACTTTTATTTCAGATTTTGCTACAAAAAGTTTGGTTTAAGACAAACTGGAATTGACCTATGTTGTTTGCAATGATGAGTACATTTGTGTCACCATCTCTCCATCCGAATGAATTTCGACACGTGATATGAAACAGGAGGTACGAAAACCTAAGGGAAGAAGAATGACGCAGTGTGCTCGGGAGCAGCCACGGCGGCTGAGTCGCCATCAGTTTGGATCCACTGTGATAAGCTAGGAATCTTGGGGCGACCAGCAGAGACCCTTTGTGGCCACTAGAACCCAATACGAAATCGTCTGCAAAGGACAATTTTCGATCGCATCAAAGATTCCAAGTGCGGGCGTGGTCAAGGTTTCTAATTCCGATTTCAAGGTTTCACCTATGCAAGCGGGAGTGGTCATGTTTGGGTGTATGCAGCAATATATGCTGGGAAAATCCTCCCCGTCTTGGGTGTTTTGTGGTAGTGTTCAGTCCAGAAACTCCAACACAAGAGCTATCCATGTTGCGTAATTTATATTTGAGTGTTTTGAGAAGAAAATAGAGTCTAATAGCTATTGCATTGACTTTGTAAAATAGCAAGCCATCTATCCCGGAGTTATCGCATTGTAAATATAGCTTGCATGTGCCACGAGCCATCTATCTCGCCGTACTAGAAATGATGTTGGAGTTTTCTATTTTTTTGCGGGGTTTCTATTTTAGAGATTTGCTAAATCATGGGTTTAGAGCATCTCCAAGAGCACCCAATATTTTCTTTCAAAAAACATGGAGTTTTGCAACTCTAAAAAAAATTGGAAGAAATAAAAAAGGCCATCTCCTAGTTTCTAATAATCCACTCCTAAAATATAGAAGACAATTTTACATCAGGAATCCTATACTATTTCTAAATTATCCTAACCACTTTTATATATTCTTTCTCTTTTATATATTTGTATTAGAAATCATTTCTTACTCTTTATTATTTCAACGTCCTTTCACCTTTAGATTGGCTGACAAATACGCGCGGGGAGAGAAGATACGTACGACTCGAAAGCGCGTAACTTTACACGGAACATGGTGACTTTTTTCAAGTTCTAAAAGATTAAGAGGATGGATTAGACTGTGTTTAGTTCCCAAAAACTTTCCAAAAAAATGCTACAGTAGCCATTACATCGAATCTTGCGATACATGCATGGAGCATTAAATTTAGACGAAAAAAACTAATTGCACAGTTTTGTTGGAAATCGCGAGACGAACATTTTGAGCCTAATTAATTTATGATTGAACAATAATTGCCAAATAAAAACAAAAGTACTACAGTAGCTAAATTCCCAAATTTCGCGAACTAAACATAGCCTTATAAGTTGGAGAGGGGTTTTTTCTCGTCTTGCTAAAAAACAAGTACTAGGAAAAGGTTTAGAGAACTTTTGAAGATGCTCTTAGCCATATATTTTTACCAACTCTGTTAGAGTTGCTCTTAGAACCTGACGTAAAGCACAAATGATTTCAATCAGCGTCATGCATGACGTCTCCTAGAAAATCCTACCGAAGCGGAAGAAACGTGCAAGATCCAACGGCAGCATTAATAAGAACTTACAATAGATAGAAGAAGCTAATATAATATATAATTAATTAATGTTTAGAGTGAGCATCACCATCGTCCCGTCTGGTTCTAGGTCTGTTCGGTTAGTATTAAAGTTAAGCTAATAAGTCGGTTAAAGCTATTTTATTATGAAAGAAAAATACTATACATTCTACTGATAAGTCGGCTGATAAATTCTGTCCTGCAGCTGCAGCATGAGGGCAACTCAAGGCAACTTGGTTTTGACGGCCTTGGATGATTGTCACCTGCCAAGTCCAAATCCGCCAGACCATGCAGGTGTTCCACCAGACCAGGCAACTTGGAAGCGTGGAAAATATAAGCGCGCCGTACCGTATGCTAATCGCTCACAGTCTGGTGTCAGGTACGTAGTACGTACAGGTGTACCATGCACCTGACCCACGGTCTACTACTACTAGCTTGGGGAACGCATGCAGGCTCTGCAGCCGATGGGATCAGGATTGACGACGCAGCGCTGCAGCTTTGCTTCGTTGGTGCTGAGTAGCTGCACGGCTGGCGGATAGGGTGGTGGACCTGACCTGCACTGCACGCGCCGTGCCGCCTTGGCCCGTCCAAGTGCGTGCGCGGCCGCGGTGACGAGGATAGCGCACGGCGGCATAGCATGCGCTTTTTGACTCAGCAAGATTAGTCTTTGGTGACTTGGTCCCGCGCCCTGCCTCCTGCCATGCTTCATGTGTCATCATGTGGTACAAAATATATGCCTGGTACGTGTTGGTGTGTGCTTGTGAATTGTGATCCTGCTCCTGCCGCTGGATAAGCGCGGAGGTCCTCGTTCTCGTCCACCGATACAATGAGCTCACTCTCTCGTCTCTCGCTCATGCGATAGATTCGTGGTCTTCTACCATGGACCGATCGGCACCCAGTGTGTTCTTTCAGCACGGTGGCCAAAAAGCAAAGGTCTCCTTGCTTCTCTTTTGTTGGTGGCCAAAAACTTGCCGTGCTGGACTTCAGTTCTATAATCATCATCCTGGAAAACGTGAATTATAAGTTCTGATCGCGTTATACGTAGACATCCAGGGGCCTGTACGTTATCCATCTCGCAGAGTAGGGGAGTTTGAAGTTATTTATAAGACATGTTTGGAGGGTAAGGGCTAATTGTTAGCCGACAAAAATCAGCCATAACCTATTAGTTGTAGCCATTAACTAATTAATTAATAACGAATAATTAGTCTTAACTCATCCAAAAGGTTTTGTAGTTTTGATGCCCATATAAATTAATAGAATAAATGAGGTAGGAATATGCAGGATGGCAGGGATTGTTATAGTTTACTACAGTAACACGTATAGGGCCACATTGCAAACATCAATTTCCAGTAACAGATTACAAACCCGAATCTTACTTCATCGCAAGAAAGAAAAACAAATCTTACTTGACAAATATGATGGAATCTAAAACAGTTATGTCCAAATTTGACAAAATGGTCGCGTGGCCTAATGGATAAGGCGCTCGCCTCCGGAGCGGGAGATTGTGGGTTCGAGTCCCACCGTGATCGTTTTTGTTGCTCGCCATGTTTGCTCTTTTTTTTTCCCCTCCGAGTCCATGCTTCTTCTTTTTTTTCTCTCTCTTTTTTAGGCCTTTTACCCCTCCGAGTCCGAGATCAGGCCCGATCAGCTAAGGGCGCGTTTGGTAGCGTGTATGAGGGCTGGGCCAGGCCGCTCGGATGCATGCGCTCGCGTTTGGTTGGCTGGACGGATCATTGGGCCAGGCTCAGACGCTACTCAAAGCATGAAAGATGCTGCATCATCCAGAGAAACGCCAGAATTGGTCGCATCAGGTGAGCCAGGCTCGCGCTGTGCAAGATTAGCATAGCTAATGACGTTATTAGCACATAATTAGTGAATATTAAGTGATTTCAAATCAAATTAATATTGGATTAGGTAAATTAAAATTTATTATGGAATAATACCATAAGTAATTAATATTTTAGTATTTATTTTGATATATTCATGTTACATGATTTGTACTCATGCGGACAACCAAACAACTTATCTTCCGAACGCTACGTGCATATCAGGAACCAAACATAAGACTGTCTCCAACAACCGCGACCCAAAATATAAGACACATTCGTCATTTGGGTATCGCTACAGGGAATGGGTTCAATACATATTTTTATCTTCTCCAACAATAAGACCCAAAAAACAACCCTTTCTACAAATAGATCTTCAGGAAAGAGGATACTCAGATTTTGGTTATGCCTCTCCTGACACCTAAAATGGATCTTCCATATAGTTACTCCAGATATTATGTTAGAGACCTGCATGCGATCAGCGTTGGCATGGGGTGATACGAGGCCCATGGATACGGACCAGCTCTACAAGCCAACCATTCATGCCCAAAACGATCGCGCTGCGAATCGCTCGTCCGATCCAACTCTTCTCCTGCAAGTCCATAATGCAACGGAATCTGCCCCTGATCTAGGTGTTTCTTTCTTGTGGTAGAGTCGTGCGCTATCTCGCCGAAAACCCGGCGCCGCCGCCATATACCGATGCAACAACCGCACCTCGCCACGTCTCCTTCGACGTAGCGATCTCGCACCCGCGACCCGCACGCACCAGAAGTCCAAAACCACCCCGGCACCAGCATGGCCGTCGTCGACGTCGTCCCGGTAGCCGCCCACCGCTCGGACGGCGGCGGCGCCACGCCTGCCTGCTTCCCGATCTCGACCCTCCTCCCCGCGTCCGCCGCCATCTGCATCTGCATCGCCGCATCCGCGTACTACGTCTCCACGCTGCTGTCCTACTACGCCACGTTCGCCGTCTCCCTCGTCTGCTTCGCCCGCGCGGTATGGCCACACCGCGTCGACGCCTACGCGCGGCAGACGGCGTCGCGCGCGCGCGCCGACCTGGAGGCCGACCTGCGGCGTCTGAGGGACGTCGCGGCGCGAGGAGCGCACCCCGCGACGACCGCGCCCGTGCACGCCGCGGCCGAAGCGTGCGCGCGCCTCGCCCGCGCCACCGTCGCCGGCTGGAGGAGGAAGTGGGACGAGCACAGGGACGCCGCGTGCGCGGCCAGGTTCGTGCTCCGCCTGGTCGCGCTCGTCGCCCGTCTCGCCGCGACCGTGCTGTTCGACGCGGCGTGCGATGAAGCTAGGGCCTGGGCCCCGTCGGTGCTGGGATACTTGAGACGCGTGGCCGATGGGATCAGGCCACCGTCGTCGTCGTCGTCGTGCAACAAGGGCGAGGACGACGAGGCGGCCGCCGGCTTTGTGTTGAAGGACATCGTGTGTCTCGTCGGGACCGGGTTCTACCTCCTGTTCACCATGCACCTGCTCTTCAGCTCCAGCGACGCCAGTGGGATGCAGTTCTGTGCGGTGTGCTTCGCGGCGACGTGCGGCTTGACGATGGTGATTGCTGACTGGATCGACCCGCCGGACGATGATGCCGACGAAACTGACACCACCGCCGCCACGGATGACGACAGCCGCCCCGAGGGCGATGCCGGCGGCGAGGCAAGCCGAGACGAGGAGCTCGAAGTGCGCCAGTCGTGGCGGTTCCTCTGGGTTCTGGTCCTCATCACGCACTGCGTCGACGCGTACCTCCTCAACGTCACGCTCGGCCCGCAGCCTACAACACTCGCGATCTTGGCCCTCTGCAACTTGGCGGTGCTCAAGGTTGGAAGGCAAGTCCAGCTGACGCCGGACGACGGGGAGGGAGCGGGAGCTGTCGACAAGTGGCGCCGCGGTGCCATGGTGGTGTACGCGGCGTGCAGCGTCAAGGTCTTTGTCGTCTACCTCGTGCTCGACTGTTACCTGGCCGCGCTCGGCTTCTTCTGGCTTTTCGTCATGGCGGACCTCCTGTTGGCTGAGGAGGACAACCTGCCGGACTTCGATACCTCGGGTGAAGATGGGGAGGAGCGTGCTGGCTTCGAAGGGGACATCACCGGAGGCGATGAGGAAGAGGTTGATGAGGAGACCAGGGAAGAGCATTCCGACACGAACTCATCAGAGGATGAGGAGGAAAGTTCTGCGCATTGTGATAGTTCATCGTCAGAGGATGAAGAGGAAAGTTCTGTGCATTGTGACAGTTCAGAAGAGGATGAGATTGTTGAGGAGCAGCGACACGAAGGACCGGGTTACGGCAGCGGCGGCAGCACGGACGACAGCTGGGATTTGGTAGACGTCGACGATCCGGAGATGCCGGCAAAAGCTAACTGCAGCGCCAAGCGGAGGAAGTCCAGGCTTATCCCATGGAAGCACACGCCGCGTGATATCCTGTTGACGCGTGGCTGATTTATCGTGATATGAGATTTTCTAGCTTCCGTTAGGATTCTGTATAAAACTTCCATCCGGGTAGAGAGTTCGTTAGGTAAAACTAGATCTAAACTCAAAAGCGCTTTTTTTTTTCTTGCAGTGTGCGTGTACTGTGTAGTGTGCAACGCCCTTTTAGTCGTCCCTACAGTCATTACCGGCCCATTGTTGCATATGAAATGTTCCTAGATCTAAGGTTCTATAGATGCAAGAAACCAACCAGGTGAATAGTCTCTAAAAAAAAAGAAAGGTTCTCCTTTAAAGCCGATATAACACAACGTTCAAAAAAAAGATGGTTCTAGAAATTGAACTATATCTAGACTTGTTACTAATTTTTATAAGTAGTATTTGATTATATATAAAATTCATTTGGGAATGACTTTATCATTCAATCTTTTTATGGACATTTGAGGTTTTCTATATAGACAAGTTTAAAGAAAGAAAGGTATTAAAGCCGAGACAAAAAAAAAGATGGTTCAATTGAACTTATCTCGTTACTTTATAAGTAGTTGAAAAATAGGAATGATATCATTCAAGCTTTAGAGACTTTTATTACAAGCTTTTCAACAAGTTCGTGAACATTAAAATTGAAGTCCGGAGCAAAAAGATATGAAACACTAAAGCAACAGCAAGTGGCCAACTTGTTGATGATCACCGGACATCTGTCGTGGTTTTGAATAGATCTGGTGAAGCATTTTTTAGAATATTTTAGAGAATTTCAGAACCTTTGCAACAAGTACAAGATCACCAAAAATGAACTTCGGATCTACGAGATATGGCCAAATTACCAAAAAACAAAAAGTGAATGCACTGAACACACAATGATTCGGAACAATTTCTGATCGTCCAATGCATTATTTTGGATGGATTCTTTTAATAATCCCATACACAAGCTTTCTAACAAGGACAACATCATAAGAAAAGACTTCAAAGCTAGAAGATATGACCAAAACACCGAGAAAATTATAGTACTATCATAGACCCAATGCTTATAGTTTGAACTAGCAAATCATCCAGTGAAGTCCACTAATTTGGCCACAACATTCACCTGGTATGACCATATATGATCCGTATTCATGGGGTCAAGAGCATCACTAATGAATGAAGCTGAACTACCCGAATCAATAAGAATCAACACTGAATGGTGAAGAACAACACCGCTGAATGGACAGTCCTAGGTGCAAGCGAGTAGCCAGTAGCAGCCTTGGATATAGCCAAACACAACTGATCTTTAGAAGGAACATGTTCAACTGCATCAGAATCACCAGCAGGGTCGACGAACGACTCCCAAACAGTCTCTATTGTCGGCAACACCTCAGGGGCACACTTGTGGTCCTCAGACCACTCCGCTTCACACTTGTAGCAGAGGCCCATCACGCAGCGGTACAATTCCAAGGCCACAATCTTAGCATCCGGCGTCGGTGGTGAAGTAGAGTGTCCACGGCTGAAGAGGTTGGGGAAGACTTGTTTGACTGTGATGGAGGTGGTAAGGCCGTAAGGGCAGAGCCATCCGCGGCGCCGTGGGCTGCCTGAGAGATGAAGACCAATCAAGCAATCACCAGAACATGATGGCCACGTGGACGGCCCGGCACCTCCTCCCACAACAATGACAAAGAAGAAGCATTATCCAAATCCTTGGACCGTTGGACAAAACAACTGGCTTAGAGCAACTCCAGCATGGACACCCAAATCAGGGCCTCTATTTTGGATTTGAGTGCTCACCCCTACTTTTATTGGCCCAACTTCTTTCACTCCAGTAGCACCTATATTTAGCTATGTGGGCTCAAGTAGGGGCCCTACTAGAGCTGCTCTTAATATCATAGTGCAAGCCATCAATAAATTGTAGTGTAAAACAATGGGTCACGAGAAGCAGACTATGCTGCAAGCCATCAATAAATCGTAGAAGTTTGTTTGACACGAAAGAGGTTGCAAATAAACTGCTCATGCTAGTCACGATCATGAAGCAGGTAGCAAAAGTTAGGTCCAGCAACAAGGCCATCACAGTGCATCTCAGCAACACTAATCCTTTACCAACAAATGTCCCATACATTGACAGTATGCATTTATTTTATTCAAATACTATTTTATAACCATCTCTACATAATAGAAAGCCACTAACAGATTCTTTTTTATGGAGAGAATATGATGCACATTCTTCAGTTGCACTGTCTTTCCCGAAGTAAAATTTGAATGAAGGTACCAACATCAAGAACACGCACACGTGATCCGTTCTCCATCAGCAAAGATCCAATCCGTAGACCTTGTAAGAAGAAAACAAAGAAGCATAAGCACACACATGAATATTAGCCCCAATGCCCATCCACCAATCAGGCGAATGACAGAAGAATTACCATACCTAGATGTTCCTCCTTCAGTCTCTTTAACAATCATGTGTTGCAGATTTTTTGTCTTGCTTAAATTTATGATCTGGGCACGCACTTGCCCAATGCTCATCGCTCCCACAAAACAAAGCAGCCACCTTTATTCTTTTCTTCTTATAAACGTGATTGTTTGCTTAGGCTTTGAATTGTTCTCTTGCTTGTTCTTCTTATTATTATGAGATGCACTAGAGTTTTTCTTCTGCACCATATTAGCATTAGAAGACTCAGCTCCTTTTCCACAAGTATCTTTTGCTCTCCCCTCTCCTCAACATCAAGAGACCCAATAAGCTCAGCCACGCTAAACTCTTGGCTCTTGTGTTTTATAGAGGTAGTAAAATTCCTCCAAGAAAGTGATAAATTAGCGTTAATACCACCGGGCATAAACTTGTCGGGCAACACACACATGGAAATTGCTGGAATTCCTTAGCTAGTGCCTATATCTCAGAAGCATGTTCCACTACTGAATGGTTGTCAACAATTCTATAGTCATACATGCTCCATGATGTACAACTCACTATCAGTATCAGAAACACCAAACTTTGCCTCAAGTGCATCCCATAATCCTTTCGTTAGTTGTGTATGTCAAGTAAGAGTCCACATATTTTTTAGCAAGAGTGCTAATCATAGCACTCGAAACAGGTTATCGGCAACCTTGAACGCTTTCTCCTCATTATGAGTAAATTGTTCGGATTTTCCCTGCGCGATGTGATAGAAACTCATAGTTGTCAACCACAGGATCATCTTAGCACACCATCTCTTATATTTGACCCATCAAATGCACTTGACTTCAACGCAACGACAAAACCACTAATAGAAAATTGTCTAATATCAGTTTTTGGGATTGTTAGGAATTTAAGCATTTTCATGTTTAATTTAATGTAGAAAAACCGTAGCAAATTTATGACCACAAATATGTGCATGTGTGATATATTACTACTAACAACAATACGAAAAACGTACATGACAAACATGCTGACCATAGCAAAAAATCTACTGAATTGAACACATTCAGTAAGAGATGTATACCGCATGGAGGCATCCATCCTCAAAGCACCGGTGGCTTCATGCGCACTAGTCGACATAGTGCATTACTCGAAGTCGCAGACCACAGTCGATGCAGGAAGGTGTTCGTAGTGTAGTCCCGCGTATGTTCACTAGGAAGAAGATGTAGCAGAGACGTTGCAGGTTCAAGAACACCGAGAAGAAGACGATGTAGATTGGCAGCGAGCAGTTGCGTTGGACGCTACTCAAAAACCTGATCGCCCTAGCACACCCGAATAGGTGTCGTAGACGCGGAGGTGGTTCCAGAGGCCTGCTCTTCCAATCCGCCGTGCGCTCAAGGGGTCGGAACGGGAAACTTGGGAGCAACTCAGCAGAGAAAAGTGGGTGTGGTATTCTGTATCTCATGCACGCAGCTGAAAATCAAGTACATCTTTCTTATAGACACGGAAGATGAAAGACAAAAGGTAGAGTATGAACCTGTATTTCATGAAGCACTCATCAATTACTAGTAACCGTTGGTGTGAATATGGGAGTTACCGATAACTATAACCATAACCATAGGGGTTACTGTTAAGTGGAGTCATAATCATAGGAGTTATTAGTAACCGTAGCCATAACCATAATTGTTATAAGTTCAGTCATCAACTACGTTTAGTTCACTGTTTTGTTGCACCTAGCATTTAATATGACCTTAGAATTTATTTATTTAGTTAAATAAAATATGGGTACAAAATTGTTATGCGGTAAAAATAATAACACAAAAAAACTCTGGTCATCACGTGTTGTCCGTTTTTATCCGTCTTTTTTTTAAATTGGACGTCTGAGATATTCATGACTGAAGCGACAAATATTGTCTGAATTCATACTAAACCATCATCACTAGAGCAACTTTGAGAGATTCTTTATATCATTCATAATTTATAGGAATAGAGATTTCTTTAATTGGATCTTCAAATATAGACATCTTTTATTTTGGATCTCTCTATTTTGAATTTCTTCCAACCAAAGATGGAGAGTGACGATGGTTCTTTAAATTGCACATAAGATATAAAAAAACTATTGGAGGATAGAAAATATAGAGAAAAACATTTGCTCAAATGACTTTCTAAACGACGATCTAGAGAGATTAGTGCTTGTATAGGGGCTAGAGGCTAGGATAGCCCCGGCATTATGAGAACACATAGAGACCAGGTACTCCTGACACGCCTGGCTGGTGCCTAACCTTGTATCCTAGCGAGAGTGACACCGCGGGGATTCGAACTTGGGTTGCGCTGGTGCTGCTGACAAGTGACAACCCCCTCTGAGTGCTTGTTTGCTTTGGTTGTAATATGCCTGGGACGGTGTACTTATTACCGTCATTAGCATCAAACGAGCATCTGGTCTGGGCCTGGTGGACCGTCATTAGCATCAAACGAGCATCTGGTCTGGGCCTGGTGGAGGTCCACATTTGTTCGTTCTACATTTTATCATATCGAGATTTGTAGCTACAACTTTTAGAAACTTTCTGAAAAACACAGCCTACAACTACGAAGCCAGCGATAGCTACAAGCAGCACCAGAGCATGGCCGTTTTTTTCAAAGCAGCTGGATGGCCTGCCGAACAGCTGTGCTTTATATACAGCCGCAGCCAGCCAATGACCAGCGGCGGACTCTTTCTTTCTTTACCCACGCCCCACGGGCCGCGGCCATAGCCATAGCTAGGGAGGCGAGGCGAGGCGAGGACCATCTCGCACCCTTGCGCGTTTGGGGCGGCGCGGGATCTGTCAGAATCTTCGTCAGCCCTTGCAGCGGTAAGCCCCAATTAATCCCTTCATCGTCTCATCTAGTACTAGTACCTTGTGGTCGGGCAAAGAAAATGACTTCGTTGCTGCAAGCTTATATTACCATAAGTAGTATATATTTTAGCATAGCAGCATCAGAACGGGCCAGTGGAGGAAAGCCAATCTCCTCCGTCGGGGACAGATTCTTACCAGACTGTATAAGCCGAGCAGCCTCACTGTCTTCACATGAACAAAGAAAACAATAATAGGCGATTTGGTTTTGGTTCAGTTCCTTGGTTAATGAAGAAATTCAGTTCTTAGAAAATGAGAACCGACTGGTTCCAAAAACTTTTAGGAAACAAGCATTTTGGTTTTTTGTTATTTCGGTTTTGGTCCAATACTAACCGAACTAACTGAATTTTTTTCGCTAGAGGTTAAGCCAAAAAAATATAGTAACAATATCAATATAGACTAATTGATAAAGGAACAATATCAATATAGTAACACAAATACATAGCAATTCAACATGAGACATCACACAGACTAAACATAGTCTGACATAATTCAAGTAAGTGAAGTACAATTCATGTATTTCGATCCTTTCGGTTAATTTGGTTATCTGAAATTTTCTCGATTATTTCGGTTCCTTGCTATTTAAAACTAAGGAACCAATTTTTCAGTTCTGGTTCTTTCGGTTCAGTTTATCAGTTTCGGTTAATTATGCCCACCCCCAACTGCCCCAAGCGATTAGTATCTCCGATTAGTTGCACTGTGCTATTTTAGCAAGTGACCCCTTCAGTTTTGCCTTGCAAATTAAACAAATGGCATAATTAAACCGCTGGCAGCAGTTGGGTGCATCTGACATCTCCAAACATCTGTCTTAATTGCTTTCCTTCATGCAAGTCCCTGCCTTGTACTCATATGTAAGATTGAGCTACAAGTTTCACGTATTCAACTCCAAATGACGGATAAAGATTGACTTCTCTAATGCTAAACTCAATGCCCATCTCTTATATTATTTGTCCAGGACAAGGCGACAAGCCAGAATGAGCCTATCCAAGGCTATTGGAGTCCTTAGTGGCATCAATGAGTTTGGTAACTTGTTCCAGTTGGTCACATCTGTTGTCTCATATGTGCGTTCCAAGTGGAATGGATCACAGGAGACACAACAACTTAAACAAGAAGATTTACTGCAGTTGCAAAGTGACCTTCAACGCCTTACTGATACTCTACCGGCAATGTACAACCTCATTGATCGAGCGGAGTGGAGGATCCATGTACCCTCTGTGGCACAGCTCCTTCCAAAACTCAAGGATGCAGTGTATGATGCGGAGGACCTTCTGGATGAGTTCAGATGGTACAAGCTGAAGCTGGAAATTGAGGGCAATAATGGTGTATCCCAGATGTCTCCTTTCATTGACTTCTTTCACAGTGTCACTCATGGAAGCTTCAACAAAGTGACTGATATACAGACCAGGTTAAGTCATATTTCTGCCCAGCTTGAGAAGATGGGCATGCATGAGGCAACTCCACGGTTTGACAAATCGGTCAGGCCACCGACCACATCTTTCTGCACTGAGCCAAACATACTTGGTCGAGACAAGGAACTGAAGGAGGCAATGAGATTGCTTGGTGTACCAGCACCAGACCATGGTAGCAGTAGCAGGTGCAGGTCTACTTCCAAACGGAAGAGAACTGCTTCTAGTGCAGCCGATAGTACTGAACCAATAAGGATATCATCTGTTCCTGTTTTGCCAATAGTTGGAATCGGGGGTGTTGGAAAAACTACTTTGGCCCAAGAGATCACTACACTTCCAAGTGTTAAATCCCACTTTGACAATATCATTTGGATTTGTGTCTCGGATGACTTCGATGAGGAGAGGTTTACTAAAGTTCTCATAAAATCTCTATCTAGAAAAGAGGCAACGGCCGATAATTTAGACGATCTTCAACAAGTTCTTGCTGAAGAAGCTGGGAAAAAAGGTTCTTGCTCATCCTTGATGACATTTGGCCTGCTGCCTTGAATGATGGGCAGTGTTGGAGGAAATTTTGTGCACCTCTCACAAAAGTACTTAAGGGAAGTATGTTGCTGGTGACCACTAGGTTTGCAGAGGTTGCTGATATAGTGGGCACGATGGAGTCCTTTGTATTGGAAGGCTTGAAAGAAGATGTATTTTGGGATTTTTTCAAACTATGTGTGTTTGGGTCTGAGGATTCTCACATTGATCCACAGTTAGAGCAGATTGGTAAGAGCATACTTGTAAAGCTCAAGCCTCAAGGGTACTCCTTTAGCCGCCAAAACTATTGGAAGGCTTTTACGAAAGAACCTTACCTCTGTACATTGGAATGATATACTAAACAACGAACTGTGGCAAATTGAACAAAAGGAAACCGACATTTTGCCAGCTCTTCGATTGAGCTACATGTATCTACCTTTCCATTTGAAGAGATGCTTCTCATTTTGTGCTGTATACCCCAAAGATTACAATTTTAAGAAGGCTATTCTAGCTGAAATTTGGGTGGCAGAAGGATTTGTGGAACCTCAAGGTAGCATTCCACTTCAACATATCGGTGAGCAGTACTTTGAAGACCTTGTAAATCTGTCCTTCTTCCATAAACTCCGTGGTAAATATGTAATACATGACTTGATGCATGACATGGCGCTTCTAGTGTCCAAGGACGAATGCTTCATTGTAAAGAATACAAGTGGGATCGAAAAAGTTCCTCCAAGTGTTCGCCATCTGTCGATACTATCAAGTAGTGGTGTTAAGTGTTCTGATTTAATGAGCCTATGCAAGCACACAAAGCTGCGCACCCTGCTTTGCAACAAGTATTTCAGGAGTGAGATTTTATCTTCTCTGATGGATTGCTGGTTTGATGAACTTGGGTGCCTGCGTGTTTTCTTTTGTGCCTTCAAACTGGAACAATTACCAGAGAGGATAGGCAATCTGAAACATCTCCGGTACCTTGGAATCTCCGGAAATTGCCATTTCAATGAAGTTCCTTCATCATTCTGGAGCCTCTATAACTTGCAGATTTTGTATGCCAGGAAATGCACATTTCAAAGATTGCACATAGGTGCCAGTAAGCTGATCAATCTGCAAAAGTTTGAATCACGTATTCTTGAAATGAAAGTCGATGCTGTGAAGTTGGTAGAGCAAATTGGGTTCATAGACAATTTTCCAGGTAAAAAAGATTTGGTTATATATAATCTAGGCGTAATAAGCAAGGATCATGCAGCAAAGGTGGAACTTAGGAAGAGGAAAGATCTTAATAGTTTGACTCTGAGTTGGTTTTTGTTCAGATCTCCAGAACACAATGAGATAGAAGTGCTTGAAGCCCTACGACCTCCAACCAGTGTGAAATCTGTGCACATCGAGGGTTATCCAGGTGAATATCTTCCAAGCTGGTTCCCTGGTTCTGGTTCTGATGGACTCGATGCCATGCCAGTTTCTAGTACAATTTTGTCATCATTAACAGAACTGAGGATTGAAGGGTGTCAGAACCTAAGTGATTGCAGATTCGAACAATTTCTACAACCAGCAACTTATGTACCTGCCATCAGAAAAATAGAGATTGCTCATTGCAGAAATGTAAAATCAGTACGAATTGAACAATTTCTACAACCAACTCCCCTTGAAGAACTGAAGGTGTACAATTGTCCAAGCATCACACATCTGTTGGCGCGAAAACTCAAACTGAAGTATTCTGGCAACCTCGGAGACAGCATCGATTGTAGTTCCCTCACATCTATCGTGTGACGATGTGGCATCCATTGACCTACAAAAGTGGAGCCTTCCAGTGCTACAATAGCTCAAGATCAGTAGCTGTCCATGTCTGATATCTATTAGAGACTCTGAACAAGTGCACGTACCCACTGACCTTTCCCTTGGCTGGACCAGACGCAGCACTGCAAAACTCCCGTTCCTCACTCACCTAACCATCCAATGCTGCTACAAGCTGGAAACTCTTGATGGCCTCCTAACACATGAATATCTCCCTGCCATCAAGGAACTGACCATTTCGTCTTGTCCACGTCTCAACTGGCAAAGTGGAATGATGTTGCCATCCTCCATTCAAACAGCCTGTTCGCTGGTTGGTTTCTGGGCTGATAAGCCCGGCGAGTGCTGGTTTGCTGTGAGAGAAAAACATTGTTGGCTGGCTGATAAGCCCTGACTGAAACCAACAAACGAACAGACTGAAAAACTCAAGTTATGGGATTGTGGGAATATCTCCCGCAGCTGCCTGGGGAACCTCACATCCCTACTAGAACTAAGTGGCTAACTGTTATTATCTCCGATCCATCACTCAATTGATCTAGCTTTCTTTCAAGTCAAACTAGTTATCTTATATTGTATATGTTTGATCAAGTTTATAGAACAGGAGTATTATTTACATTTACTATGACACCAAATAAGTTTGCTGAAAGTAAATTCCATAGCTACACTGTGGTTTAATATAAAAACAAAATGCAACATGTTCGTTTCGGCTGAATTGGCTTATAAGCCACGGCTGAAAGTACTGCTGGTTGGTTTGGTGTGAGAGAAAAATACTGTTCAAGCCGTGGATTATAAGCCAAATACGAGTAAATAAGCCGAAACGAACAGGCTGATGAAGAGGGAGATTAATTCCCTTGTTTCTGCATAATATAATGCTAATGTAACCACCACCACCACCCTGCATGCATATATACTCCGTACGTATCATCGTCGTTGTTGTGTCATTCCACTGCATAGCATCTGCGTCCATGCATCTCAGATCAGATTCTCATCATACGTACCCAAGGCAGAGGCGTGCACAGACGAATTCTTTGGAGTCGTTGAAGCACGAGTCCATCCCGTACTCATACTACATGCAGATTCAAAGCACCAAGATGACAGACATCTCCATCAGTCACAGCTGAAGCAAGTGTACATACAATATATACATGCATGTTGTGAAATGACCGGGTACGTACCAGAATCCGGAAGTATAAATGATCTGGAAGCCATTCTGCAGGGACAGAGAGCACGCATATGCACTATGCAGAGCAAGGACAGACAGACAATCTAGTTCAGTTCAGACTTGAGAGTTGAGACTGACTGAGCACATTGCAAATTGGTTGCAAAGGCGAATTAATAAAGCGTGCATGCAACGGAATGGATAGACAGCACCGATCGACGGACCTGGAAGAGGGTGAAGTGGATGAGGAAGAGCACGAAGGTTGGTTTTGCGAACAAGAAGTAGGAGTCGCCGACTTGCACGAGCGGGATGCGGCAGATGATGCCCTGAAAGCTTCGTCCCCACGGACAGGATGATCACCACCGGCATAATGGATATCCAGAGCATGGTGTGCCATCCTGCGTGCATGCATGCATGCACACATGACACATCGTCGTCATTCATGGATTATTACATATATTGGAGCAAGAGGAAAATGCATGGTGGATGTATATAGTGTTAGATAGTTTGGATCATCTAGTAGTAGATCCAGTGGGTGAGTTCTTTTCTAATTGAATCACATAGACATAGAGTTTGCTTCGGGAGTAGGAGACAGAGAGAGAGAGGGAGATGTAGGAGCATCTGACCGTTGGAGGAGCTCCCTGCCTTCGCTGGTTCGTCGGTGAGGATCTGCGTACGGGCAGCGACGTTTGGTGTAGCTGTGGAGACCGGTGATGGTGGAGGCAGTGGCGCTTCCCGCCGCTGGCAGTGCCACCCTATGGATCGGATTAGGGTTAGGACAGTGAGGCTGTGGCGGCGGTGAACCTCGTGTCAAGAGCCGTTTGTCCCACCTCCTCTTTATAGTCACTGTGCGACGGGGGCCCACCAACCACTAGATGGCTGGACGTCCCCGATCAGGACGCAGTCAAGGGGTCCGTCTCGACCATTGGGTCAAGACGGATGAGATCAATTCTAACATTCTCCCACTTAATCTCAACTCATACTTTAACTTTAAACTTTGACTTTAATCCCTTTCACTTTTATTTGTTCCATCACGGATTAGTGCATAGAGCATGCTTCATCGTCACGGTCAATCGTCGATAGACTTAACAGCTACAATACACGTCTCTGTTCTGAAATAGATTCTTTAACTTTTGGGCCCTTTATTGTCCGGAAATCATAGGCTATACCATAAACCCATGTCGACTGTGTGTTCTCCAAATACACTGGGTGGTAAGCCTTTTGTACGCGGATCCGCAAGCACTTGCTTGTTACTTTTATGTTCAATACTTTCAGTATGATTTCGGACTTTCTCCTTCACAACGTATAACTTTAACGTCAATGTGTTTGGCAGCACACTTGACCCGTTGTTATAGGAGCGAACTTCTTAAATGGTTATTGCTATTGTATACCATTATTAATTCCGGGTGTAAGTTATTTTAACTATTTCGCCTGTCCTTAAGCCTCATAACAAGCTATACCATGGGTATGCATCTTTGATGACACCATAATTGTTTCTTTGGAGCTTTTTCACAATAAAACTCTAACCGCGAGTGTTAGCTACTATGTGGGTTTCACTAAACATCTCGCCAAAATTTAACTTTTATACCCACAACTATTTGAGAGTACTTATTCTTTCTTACTCACCATGAGGCCTATAAATCTTTGCACAATTGCAAAATATTCTCAACTCCATTCCAGTGATCTATATCTGGACTGGACTTCTGCCAAAAACATCCCGGATACATAAACTGTGTCAGGGTAAGTTCTTGCTTATAAGTATTCAGTAAGCTTCCAACAGCTGAAGCATATAGGACGTCCATTTGATCGATCTCACATTTATTCTTGAACACTAAAAGTTCCGAAAACTATTACCCTTGACTATAGGAACAGGCGCAGGTTTATTCACATATATACTTTATTTCTTTAGAATCTTCTCTAAGTATACACTTGAGATAGTTCTAATACCCCTTTTCTTTTTATCTCGGTAAGTTCCAATTCCTGGAACGAATGATGCTTTACCAAGACCATTCTCATTGAAACTTGAGGACAAGAACTGCTTCTTCTCCAACAGTAGATTAACACCACTACTAGCGAGTAAGGTGCTACCCACATGCAGGATTAGGAAAATAAATTTCCCATGTTTAAACTTTGCATAAATACAATTGTCCTCTATATTCTCTTTAAAACCCAAACTTTCTTATTGTACTGTCAAACTTCAAGAACCACTGTCTTGAAGCTTGCTTTAATCCATAAATGAATTTCTTTAGGCAACATCCCTTTACGTTCTTTTTCTTCCACGACAAAACATTTTGAGTTATGCCATGTAAACTTTTCCATACAAATCATCGTTGAGGAATGTGTCTTTACATCCTTCTGATGTAACTGTAAATCGTAATGTGCCACTAATACCATTATGATTCTAAAAGAATCCTTGCATGCTCATTATAATCTATTCCTTCTCTTTATGTAAATCATTTCACCACAAGTGGCGCTTTATAGCTTTCCATATTCCCTTTGGATATCTTTCTATATTTCCTTTGGAGTCACCTTTGTCTTGTAGACCCATTATAGCCTACTGTTTTGGCTCCATTAGGAATTTCTTCTAAGTCTCAAACATCGTTGGTATTTATCGATTTCATTTCATGTTCCTTTGCTTCTTGCCATTTAGACGAGTGAACGCCTCTCATGACTTCTTCAAATGAGGTGGAATCACTCTCTATTTGAATTTCTTTCTTAACTTTTACTTCTTAGTCATCAGAAATATCTGATTTTCTTATTCTTTGAGACCTTCTAGGGCCTCGTGGCACTTCTTTCATATGGGGCTATTGTTACTCTTCATTGCCAAAAGGCAATTGTTCTATAGCCTCATGTATCACAAGATCCTTATTTACTTATTCATCCTCTTTAAGAGCAAACATCTGGTGTTGTATATGTCATACAACATCAGCATGTATAAAGCAATTTGTTGCTCTAAAAAACACTGTAATGGATATGTAATCCCATTTCTATTCAAGCCTTAGGTCTGTACATACCATGCTCCCCCAAATTACTCTATCTTATGTAAAGATGGTGTATCTATAAATTTCTAATTTTGGGTTTAATCTGTTAAAAACTCATATGGCGCGTTTAGCACTGCCTTGATAACTCTGAACTCGTCCAGTATGAATACTAGCCGACTATGCTATCTTCCCATCTGAACTATAAAAAGTTCAGGAATTTAGTTATTTCTTTACTTTAGGGTATCGTTATTATGACCGTCTTACTCCCTCAACGATCACATTCATCTTTTATAGATCACTTTTACCTTCAATGCATAGTATGCATTGCATTATCAGAAGTATGGGGAAGTATCTTTCTTAATTAATCTTACATTTCTCCCCCTCGAAATGTGGTATGAACTTTTCTACCACAATTTCGAAACATTCAGAACTCTTGTGAATGAGGAAACTTTGATTACTTACTTCATCCACATGATTACATCATGTAGACAAAATTTGTATGGGAGTACATTTTTCTCATTACACTTTAAAACTCAACATAGTCTATTATTATCAATACTTCTGCAAGTCACGCTTGCATATCATTCTTATCTTTTGGTTCACATGCAACTTTCTTTTGTTCTTAAACTCATTGAGTACTTAATGACCACGACACAATCATAGTGTACGGTCGGTACTATGATAGCATAAGAGCTACCCAAACTTCTCTCCATGTGCAGGATACAGTTAGAGCACATGAGTCATCACATCCTTCTCCCGCCATGCGGAATAAGTACTATGCCAACTTTACCCCACCATGTGGGTATTTTCTCAAACTTTTCCCGTCATGCGAGATAATT